GAAATTATGCTTCTTAATTATGCATCTAAACTAATCAACTACTTTATAAAAATTACAAAACCGATCATATTCTAAAAGCTTCAGTTCTTTCAAATCTCTGATAGAAAATTGCATAGCGGATTAAAAATAAGCATACAATTTATAGTAATTCTTATTTAAATTTTATACGATTTAGTTATAGTAATCTTTTTTATTTATTTGGCACTAATCTCAGTCATAACTCACCAATTTTTTAAAGAAAAAAATTCCATTTTTTTTCTGCAGATATTTTGAAAATATTACGAGGTAATTAAAATAAAAGTTAATAAAAACATGGCAATAATTATACTAAACATATTATGGCTAAGAATACACAAAAATTTGGAACAGAAAAAATGTTCACGTTTTATTTAAAGTCGTGCAAGATTATTATAGATTTTATTCTAAGTTTTGCTAGAAACCGAAACTAATTATTTAATCCATTTATTATTTGAAATGATAAATTTGTGAGAGAAAAAATTATGTCTGAAATATATTCATAAAATATCTAGGTAAATGATTATAAAAAATCATAAAATATCTGGGTAAAAATTATCTTTGAAATTGGAAATCTAATTTAATCCCAGCGTTAAACGCATCCTATTCGAACGTTCGAATCGCTTTCACCAGCAAATTGTTAGGTGAAAGCTTTCCGATAGATGGGAGGAAAAATGAAGATCGCAGCCCGTTAGCAAAATCCGTTCGAAAGCGCGAGGTTTCAGGTTTTCCCTAGGAGTAGAAAAGTGACGTCAAAGTGACGTCATTTTTCTCTTCCTAGCTCGTTCGAAGTCTGCGAGGTTTGAGCTCCAAGTCGAGACGACACACTATAGAAGACCAACAGTTTATTGGGGCAGAAGTTAGACGACTGATAATGGTGCATGCACTCTTTAAAATCTATAGCTGTTGTTGTTCTCATCCCCATGACCAGCAGAGTTAGATCAGGTCCATGAGCGCGTTCACTCTGAGAAAGTCTAGCACCAACAAGGCAGCTTGAACCAGGTCCAGCAGAGCACTTAGTGCAGATTTCGAAGTGTTTATTACCATCATAATAAGTCATTGATAACAGATGTACACTGAGGAAACGAGTAATGGCAGTTTGTTCTCGTCTACTGCTGCCCCGAGTCAAGAAGCCCCCTGGGCACCTACTCTGATACCATTAGAATACCGGCGGAACAGTCCAAATGACCATATTCTTTGCTTTACATTTAGAAAAATGCTCCAAGTAAGTGAGAGGAGCGACAGTCGTAATGGCCTCTTCTGCTCTGGCCAAACCGTCAGCAATCTTATTTCCAGCTATATCGACATGCGACGGAATCCACTGAAAGTGGATCCGATGAGAAAGGGAAAGATGTTTTAGTTTCCTGAGAATGTCAGCACCAATACTGTCCCTGACATTATGCCAATCGATCAGGTGCTGGATAGCACTTTTACTATCCGAAAAGATCCAGATATCAATAAACCGCGAAAGCGACATAATAGAGTCCAGACCCTCAAGAATTGCAATAAGTTCGCTTCGGAATACTGAGCAGAAGTCCGGATTTCTTCTCTTGATTTTTATTTCCTGATCCCGAAGTTTAATATAGATGACACTGCCAGATCTGTCACCATCAAGTCTACTGCCATCTGTATACAACTGAACAGCGTCCATGGGGACACTGTTAATTTTTTCAAGTGCTATCTGTTTCATATAGCACGTCAAATCAATTTGTTTGTTAACCCGGACAGGAAGGTCAACATGAAAGAGAACCCCTTCAAGACCCTCAAAAGGTTCGAAAATCTGTGATAGACTGTAATGTTCTACAGAAATTATAAGGTTGCCAGAGACAACCTGTCCAAAGGGACTACCACGCTTGAGACTTTGGTTACTGCTCCATGATCTCAAAAACTTCGAAGTATTGTTCTGAGAGCCTAGCCTGGAGAGCTTACTTTAGTACTTTACCATCGCGTTACTAGGATACATAATTGAAAACAAAACCATCAACAGTCTATTAAAACCATTAATGAGTCTACCTGTGCCTAGGGATATACCATCACGGCGAAGAATATAGCCTCACTGATAAAGGTGTTCAATGTAACACCTAACTGCATATAGGTTTTAATAAAAATTTAAAATATTTTTTTCCATGAAATTTTTCACCTATCTAACGATATTTGCAAATTGAAACGCAAACATTAATTAATTAATTTTTTATTACTATAAGAAATAATTGTACAAAATCCAAAGAGGAACTTCTAGAAGGGGCAATGTAATAATGTCTGACATGGAATGCACCGAGTCTGAAGTATCTTTAGTACAGTCCTAAAAGAAATATTTAAAATTAAATAAATATTTCCAATTTATATTTTATATATTTTTTTGTTTCATTAAAAAATATTTTTAATAAGAAAAAATAACACAATAAATATCATATGAAAAATATCGAAATAATTTATTATTAAACTGAATTAAAATATTTATGTTTGGCAATTAAGAGGTTCGGTCAGTCTAGAAGAGAAAAAAGAAAGCATATTTTGGGAATTCGTTCAATTAGATAATGGAATAAATCAACATACTTAAAATGGATCTTTACCAGGGCTCAAAAATCATATTGCCCAACATGCATGTGGCATGACAAAATTTTAAGCATTTTATCTTTAATTTTACTTGCCAAGTCGGGTATGTAAATATTTAATCAGAAAAACCATAAAATATTCTTCTGACGAAACTGGTTGACGGATCATAGGTTAGAGTCCTCTTGCAGTCAGGCTAGCCGTGGGAGCTTTTCAGGGTTTTCCTCTCCATGTAATGCAAATGGTAGTTCCGTCAAAAAGTCCACCACGAAAGCAAATTTCTTCCACTATTTGATCTAGGAGTTCACTTGTTTTCTGGTTTGGGTTCAAAATTACAAGGCTACGGAGCTTAACATTGGTTGTAAACACAAAATTGAGTCAGCTGTCTAAAGACGCTTATAAAATAAAATATAATCTGAATTAAAGTGTTTGGTTGATACGAATTTTGTTCTTAATTCGCACCGACCACAGTGCTGACGTAAAAATATCCTCTGTGGCAGAAAGATCATGGATTAAAATCCCGCTGTCATCGGACTAACCGTGGGAGTTAATCAGGGTAAAGAGTATTCTTGTAAGTCCATAAAATCAGGCTAAAGTCCATAAAATCAGGTGAGCTGGCTCAGGGGATAGAGCTCTCACCTCCCATTGAGGTGACCCAGATTCGAATCCCTGCGATGGCTGGTTTATAGGAGTTTTGAACCTGGCTCGTACCAACCATAGCGCAGACGCAAAGTATCCTAAGTAGTAGACGAATGATGGGTTATAATACTCTTGTCGCTGGGATAACCGTAGGAGGCGTACGTGGTTTTTTCTCTCCTTGTCACGCAAATGCGGGGAAAGTTTCACCATAAGTTCTCCCCGAAGGCTATTTTCTCCCAATGATTCTTTTTTCTGAAATAAATAATTATACATTGAAATATCTGAAAGAAAGTCCCTTTAAAAAATACACAGGAAAAGTTTAGTATTTTTCGTTACTCTGTTAACCATGCCGAATCTCGGTTTAATACAATTTATCAAGATTTATGTTATTTAACCGTTCTAGGCCATAGATGGCGCCACTGGTAAACAAGAACAATCGCACCCCTCTGCCATGCTCTTAACAGGCATACGAAAAGAACAATAACCGTGCGTAAAGTTTTTTTCTCAGTATTTTCACTGATTTTTTTTTTATATAATGTAGTTAAATTATTTCTTTTAGGTGTTATTGCTTGTCAAAGTGGGTTAGATAATTTCCATTCTACTTGTGTATCAGAAAAGGTAATAAATATTTGAAAAAATAATAGAAAACATTTACCAGTTTTAAATAGTTGACAGGAATTTGTCTGTTCATTTCTCATTATCGCATTTTCCATAATCTAGTAGAAATCAAAGAATAGAATTAAAAACGTCAATATCAAAAACATCAAACAAAAATGCATTAGTAAAATTAAAATTAATATCCTTTTACTGTGGATAAAAAAGTATCTTTAATTGAACCATATATGAAGTGTCCGAAAAGTATGGAAACGGTTAAGTTTATCGAAAAATATACATCAGTATTTTTAAAAGATGCATTCAATGACACCAAACTCACCTGAGGTGGAAGTTGAGTTTGGTATCATTAAATAGGTTTTCTGAAAACATCAAATCCGTCTGTTTTTATTTGTTTTATTTATTTAATTTTTTTTATATAGATATGACATGTATTTTTTTAAACATCCCCATTTTAAGCAATTCGAGCCCCATTTTAATTTTTTTACAGTGTCCAGGGAGTGAATGAAAATATAAAAGCCATTGAATCGATTTGTTTCTTTTTTTCTTATAAATCTAAATCTGCAATAAAGAAATTAATAAAGTTGCCCCTGCCTCCCTTTCTTAGGGTAAAATAAGAAGTCGAGTTTGGTATCATCGAATACATCTCTTGAATCGTATATTTTTGATTTTTGATCTGATATTTGACCGTTACCATACTTTTCGGGCAGCTTTTATGCATATATAGTGCTTTTAAAAAAAATTTTAAAAAAATGAAAAACCCGAACCCTTTGATTTAAGGATTGGATTTTCAAGTTCAATGATTCAATCAAACTGGCTTGAGGACAAAACCTCAAACATGCTATTTGATTATGTACAGGATTTTATTATTAATACCGATACATATAAAATGTTTAATTAATAATAACGATATTTTAAGTAAAGAAATCAAACCTTTACTTTAATCAAACCTCGAGATTTTTTTTGTTTTTCTTCTGAATTTTACTGTATCGAAATTAAACCTACTTTAACCCTTTACATAACTTTTTTTTTAAGGTTTTGGATTCTTGATCCTCTTAATAGCCCCATCAATATAGTCCCAATAGTTTGGTTAATAGAGTGGTCGTACGCTTGGCCCCATAGTTAGTTTTACTTATTGCGTATTTCACCATTTCTCGGCAACTTTTTAAGCGAATCGGAAAAAAATATTTCATTAGTATAAAGATTACCATTTGTTTATTTAACCCAATTAAATGAAATAAAAATAGAAAAGAATATGAAAATTCCATTATTAATTTTATTTCTTTGCTTACAAAGGAAGAAAAAAACATCTTCACCCAACGAAAAAAGTTACATATTTTTTTATGCAATGAATTTTTAAAAAAAAAAACTAAAACCATTAATTTATACAAATTTTACTATGATTTTACCCTCAATCTCTCAAAACTAGTGAATGTTATAGATTTCTCTTTTCTTAATTTCGATCTTATAATCTTTTTTCTTTTACTTAGTTTTCTTAGCTTAAAAAATCATTTTACAAAATATATTAAACATGATTTATTTTTAACAATGTATAACATCAAGCATTAAACACATTTATTTTACGCTTTACTTGCCCAATCTTCAACAAAAACAAAATACATTATACAGACCGGGGTCAGGTTGCTGAATGGTAGAGCTTCGCGCTCCCGCGTCACAGGTTCAGGGTTCTATCCTCGGACCGAGCAAGGTTGTCTCACCGTTTCATCTCTTCAATGAGTCGATAAAACGCGTATCAAATATGCTTGGGGTCAAGACACTGGGGGTTTGCGCATTCGGTTGACCACCCAACTGGAACATCTGCTCCTGCCCCTCAGTGCCTGAGATCAAGAAAACTGGGATGGGCACAATAGGGCTTGGCCCTTCTTGGGTTGGAGCACCAATGAGTTAAAAAGTTTAAGTCCTTAGATAAAAAATTTATTAGAATCAGCCTATTAAGTGCTCAAGATGTTTCCGAATTCAATTTTTACTGACCAGTTACAATATAAGATGCTTTTAAGAATCAAATATAAATACAGAGATAGAACTACAGAAATATATTTTGCTTAATTTGACAGAGGTTATAAATGTGAGAAAAAAATTTAAGCAAGATGAAATAACCAAACTAACATGAAACAGCAAATGCATTTGATTGATTGATGTCTACAGAATGAATAGGGTTTATTAAAAAAAAAAGAAGAAAAAAAGGAGAGAAAAAAAGAAAGACTGACAGAAAATTTCGTGGAAAAAACTTTAAATTATTCCAGTTTAGTTAGCATTTTTTTTAATGTATAAAGGTAGTCTTAAATAGATCAATAAATTAAAAAAAAAATTTTATTTTGGAAAGAAAAGTGTTACAAGTTTGAAGGGCTAAATAGAAAACTTAATAATTAAAAAGATGACTTCGCTAAAAACAATGCACTAAAAGTTTCATGATAAAAAAAAAAAAAAAAAAAAAAAAAAAAAAAAAAAAAAAAAAAAAAAATTNAAAAAAAAAAAAAAAAAAAAAAACTGGTGGCTGAAAAAAGAATTTCCTACAACTTTATTATAAAAGTTTCGCTTAAATCCTACATTTTGTAAGCAAAGTTTAAACTTTAAGTTGGTATTTCTTAATTGAATTAATTTTTGCTCAGTTTATTTTAAAATAATTCTCTTTAAACTGACGTGGTTTTTAAGAAATTCTGAGTTCAAAATTTTTATTTCTTATTCAATTTGTTCCCCTTGATTAAAAAGAGAAAAAAAATCAAATATTTCAAAAATACCCTAATAACTTTAAAAAGTAGTAACTCGCAGATTTTAAAAATATTATAAGTTTTTAAAATTTTTTTTTCTAGATTGAATACAGAATTCAAAACAGGTTCACCCCTTCATTTGACCGGAAGAAAAGTTTTTCTTTACGAATTCATCTGTTGATCTTTTAAAAACACAACAAAAAAGTTTTACACAAACGCACATACATATACACTTCCATTCAATTTGATCGTAGATATTTCTATTTAAATACCTTTTTCTTCAAGAGCTGTCTTCCATACATCTGAAAGCGTATTTCCGAGACCCAAAATGTTCTCAAAGTTTATATAGTGGAAGAATTCCAACCTATGGCTGAGGGATGAATTCAGAAGTTAATTAGTGTCCTGCTCAGTTGTATAATTTATTAAGAGAACATATTTTTATTTATGCTATGTAGTCCTTGATTACTATTCTAGTATGTATTAAATTTTTTTACTTCATTTTTTGATAAGGATTTTTAAAAATTTATACATAGAGCGGTGATTACGGAATACCTAGAATACATAGACTATATGGAAATACAGTAGATGCACTATTTGTTATATGTGTACTATATGTAAATATACTATAGGTAAAATGTTTTCAATAATGATTTTAAAAACATACATTAAGAGCCATGATTGCAGTACACCTAGCATACATATGCTATATGTAAATTAAATAATTTGTTTGCTGTGTCAAAATTTGAATTTTTTAAATAAATAAGGTAACTAGAAGTTTTTAAGGAAATCTTATTTGGAAAACACAGCGTCCCTAAATAAATAAATTTCGTATTAGAAAACTAAGGCATAATTTATTAGCAAAACCCACTTAATAATAAATTTTTAGTCTGCTTTGAAATAAATAATTAAGAAAAATATTTCTTAAATTTTTAACCTGTTTACATTTAAGATAAGCTTGGACAGATTGTGTGCTAAGTTAAATGAAGTACTTACAAATCTGGAGTTTTGAATTGGCCAGTTGGCACAGGAAATAATGCTTCATAAGTTCTGCCGTCACCAGTACCATGAATAGCGTATGCATTGAAATGAGTGACATTTGGTGGGAAATATGACTTAGGTATTTTAGCGACGCCAGTCCAACTATTTCCTTTAATCTGGGCTGTATAGTCCACGGGCAAGCATATCTAACAATAATTAATAAATGTTAAGATCATGACAAGTTATTTAAGCCATAAAAAACTAAAAGAACTTCTTGTAAGTAAGAAAAAAGAAGAATGCAAAGAAAGAAAAGAAAAAGAAGAATGTCATCGTTAAGATCACGACATATTATTTTAGCCAGAAAAAACCTAAAGTAATTCTTTATAAATTGTAAAAGAAGAATGACATATTTAAGATCATGACAGATTATTTAAGTCATTGAATGTCATTGTTAACATCATGGCATTAGGATCACGACATATTATTTGAGTCAGAAAAGCGAACAAAATTGATTATAAAAGGTAAAAGAAGAATGTCATAGTTCAGATCATGACGTATTATTTCGGCAAAAAAAAAAAAAAAAAGGAATGATAATAAAACTTAAAAGAAAATGTTATTGGTAAGATCATGATATATAATTTAAGCCAGAAAAATAGGAAAGATTTTATTATGAAGCTCAAAAGAAGAATGTCATTATTAAGATTATGACATATTCTTTAAGTTAAAAAATTTGAAAAGAATTCATTATAAAACATAAAAGAAGGCTATTGTAAAGATCATGACATATTATTTAAGCATCTAAAGTTTAAAAAGCTGTTTAATTTTTATGTTTCATTGAATGGAAATGCTAATTTATTCAAAATGGTTGCTTTTATTATACTTTTATTTATCTGTGAATCAGTGTATAAGTTCTGAACGCAATTTCTTCATAATAAAAATTATTTATTTGGTTTAAATATCTATTTTTATGTAACCCTACTCGATCATTATAAAAATATATCTATATACAGTTAAAACATATTTCAACTAGTGACACTTTGCATTATTTAAAAATATCAGTTTTATTTAAAAAAATTATATTTTCTGCTAAGTTAATTTAAACTTTAAATATATTTAAAAATTTTAGTTCAACCATGTATCAACAGCATTCTCTAATTTAAAACAGGGTTCTCTACGTGCATCGAAACCGCGAACCCAACTGACGTTTAAAGTCGTCTGGTTCAAAACTAGATCCACACTGCGCAAGCCTGGAGTAATAATTGAACAGCTGCAGAGTGTGCAGTGGTGATCCTTTTAAGAAGCAGTAGTAGTGCTTGATTTACTTCGCACTAAAATTACACAATGAGCAAAAGTTGGCAACAGTTTGGAAAATATCCTTGAGGATGATCCGTGATCTTTTTAAAAAGGAAAAGAATACGATTGTTACAAAGCACAAAAGGCTGTATTTATTACGGATTATTCCTACTTATATCTACTAAATCTATTCGATATTTGCGGAAATATTTTTCGCATGAAAAGATCTTAATCTTAGAAATATAAGCAAGCATTAGCGTTTTCTTTTTTAATACTTAGCAGTTTCATTTTAAGCGATTTTCAGCAAAAATTTCGACAAAAATATCATACAATTAGCGAGCAATAAAACTTGCATAAATAAGAGCATTTCTTACTTTAATTGCCTTTTTTCTTCCTGAGAGAAGTAAAACTAAATGATATCCATGTCTGCAAAGAATCAAAATTTTCAAATGCATAAAACAGTATTTTCCCTTAAATAAATTTCATAACTATCAAAATGAATTGATACATTAATATCCTATGAAACAAATAATTGTTGCATTTAATAATTAAAATTTTTGTACTAACAGGCAAGTTGTGAAAAAAGTAATGAAAATAATATCAATGTAGGTAAAATACAGTAAAACAAATTCCTCTTAAAAATATTTAAACACAAAGCACTACACTTTTTTACTAGTAAAATGCTATAATTTCCGAAATTTGAAAATTAATTGTGAATAATTTGAATATAGTTCAGAAATATTTTAAATATTTTATTTATGAATTTGAAAAAAAAAAGTTTTTGACCTGCTATATAATTTTTAATTAGAATTTTTTCTCCCTTTTAGACAGCTTTTGTACAAAAAAAGAAGAAGAAAAAAAAACATTCTTACGGAGAAAACTCCAATTCAAGGTACTTTTCATCTTTTCCAAGGAAAAATGCTTCAACAACTAGAAACAAAAAGAAAGAATGCTCGTTGAAAACACACATTTTGGATAAATTGTTGCATATACACTTAGTGACCACTTAACTAAGACCACCAGCAAGCTTTATGGAAATGATCTTTATGTGTTGCATTGTTTCCGTTGGGGGGCTGGTATAGCTTTACCGTTCTTATAATATTCTTTTCATTTGCATGGTAATCTGAATAACGGATTATACCTAAACATCGTTGATGATCCAGTACATTCCCTAATACTGATGGTTTATCCCAATCTTGAGGAGGGCATTCAACAGGCTAATGGGCCCTGCCATACATCTGGTATTGTAATTTGGAACATGATATTAAGGAAAATGATGAAGACTTCACTTTGTTGAGTTGACTCTTTAAATCCTCTAATATTAATCTGATTAAGTATTTGTGGAATTACATTTACCATCCATATGAAAGTGTCATTCTTGTATGAAAGTGTCATTCTTGAAAGTGTCAAATTGTCTCAAATACAAACAACGACCAATCAATATCTCACGCAATCCATGCTAAGAAAAATCGAGAATTTACTAAAGGCAATAGGTGATCAAACGAGCTATTAAGAGGACGCTTATACAGTCGGGGGAAAAAAAACCTTCATGGCGAGTTCTCTTTCAACTATATTAATAATTTTAAAAAAAAAACACATAAAAGTTAGTTCCGGTAAATATAGAGAAAACCATAAAGTTTCAAATGATAGAAAAATACTTTACAAAACATCAGAAATCAAACAAATTATGTCATGACTACTCAGAATTACATATTGGGGAAGTAATCCTGTAATAATATGTTCGATAGTTTGAAAAAAAAATTTCAGCATTCAAAACTCCATGGTTTACCTGAACTTATTTATTTTCTCTTAACTTTAAATTTTGAAATTGATGGAGGTAAAAAAGAATTTGCCATGAAAATTTTCTTCCACGGTATAGTGTCTTATGGAAATGGTTGTAATAAAGTGGCCTCTCAGAGTATATGTTAATAAATTTGACAAGATTCATATAAAACTTTAATTACAACTCTAAAAATTTTAAGAGTAATACAGATCTAGGCTGACCTTCATAATCCCAGAGTTTGTTGAAGGATTTACCAGGCCCGGTAGGGGTGGGTTGATCATCAAAAAATGGGGCTTTTATTTCCATGTACACAGCATCATCTTCAGAGTGAATTCTTAAAACAGTACTTTCATGATCTACTGGTCTATCATCCCAAGTTTTTGATATAGAGACATTCATGCTGTGTCAAAGATATGTTTGAAAAATATTAAAACGTAAAACATTTAAAAAGTTGAGAAAATTAAATCAAAATTAGACAGTGAAAATGCTTGGAAATAGTTGATTACTGAACACTTGACTAAGTAACCAACTCCTTTTTTTAGGTATTAAAAAAATGTATAAATATTACGCTGCACGAAAATTTGCTGATTTTATCTTTGGAATGCTTATGAATATAAAACTATTCTGTCTTCCTTGTAAATGAAAAGAGAAGATAGTTTGTTGCTTTCTACATGTGTTTATTATTATGTCTAAGTACTAGTTGTTAAACCTTTCAACAGATGGCGCAAACGTCTTTTAATTTTATTCTCAGACTGCACTACATTGTTTCTGCAAAATGGTGTTTTTTAAAACATTGTTTTAAAGCTTCTAATCAATAAAAAACTTGACTAGTAATTTCCGTGAGACGAAGAAAAAAATTTGAAAACAAAGGATTAGCAGCTTTCTCCGCTGATTATAACATAGTAACGCAAGATAAAAGAAAAATGTGAAATATTTTTTATTTCTTTAGTTTTTTGTATTCGTGTTTTTTATTTCTTTATCTAAACCTATTTATTTCTTCTTGAGTTAAAAAGATATGATTGATTTCAACCCTGGAATTGTGTTTGGTAAAAAAAAGGCTTTTACTAAAAATGTGTAAAATTCACCGAGAAATGGCTATTCTAATTATGTGTTTTGTGCGTCGCATGGTGTCTTATTCCTGTTAAAAGTTGCATAAATATTCCGTGTGTCAATTAACTCCTGATTGAGACAGTTGTCACACTTTTAAAATTTCCTAACTTTAAACGTTTGTCAATTCTACACTGTAAAAAAAAGCATGAGTAAACTACTGGAATAAAGCAAAATTCACCTTGTTTCTGGCTCTATCGGAACATAAAAAAAACATGATAATTTTATCGAAGCGCTTTGGTAATGACTTTTGGTAAAATTATACAATATTATTTCATAAATTCTGTTAAAATTTGGTAAAAATTTGGTAATTTTATCATGATACCTCTGAACATAGCATAAAAACCATTTATTCAGCTAAATTTATTTTTCAGTTTTGCATTTTAAACTAAATGGGTTGTAAACTTGCTTTTCAGTTTTGCATTTTTTAATAAATGTGTGGTAAATTTTAATTTTCAGCTTTGCATTTTTAAAATTATTTTTAGTAATAAGAACTATAGTTTTTAAAAACCAGAATATCCGGTAAGGTGTAGCCACTTAAAAGGAAAAATTAAAAAATGAATAGTTTAAATATGGTAAATTTTGGTTTAATTAACCAGAATTATGCTGGGTTTGTTTGTACAGTACGGTAATTTTACCAGAATTTTTTTTCTACAGGTAAGAATGTGCACAAAAACCAATAACTTATGATAAATTTTTTTGTAATGAAAAATGCCTTAAATAGCTTTAAAATAAATTATTTTCCCCGGTTTTTTTCTTAGCTTTTTAAAGAGGTTATTTTAAAATAAGTTGCAATTAAAATGCAATTTTGAAATTATCGTCGAAAATGTATAGCTGTACTGAGTTTTATTCTCAAATTTCATTTTAAACTTCATAAAGATTAAAAAATAACTTCTTTCAACAATTTACAAATTTTTAATACCAGGCATTTCCTGGCACATAAATTGAGATGCCTAAAGTCTCACTCCGAACTGAAGTAATGCATTGAAATTGCTGTTTGTTGGAACTATTCTTTATTTGTACTTATTGCATTCATTACTTTCAGCTTTGATGTATTCTAATGAAAAGTTTCATGATTAAATTAAGTAATTATAGTTTTCAAATAATCATATGTAAAATATAGAAGGTGACATCTTAATCTTAAATTCACTGCGTCACGAAAAATATTTTCATTTTTGAACATTTTTATCGTTAAGACTATGCCTCACATGATTCTTATTTTTTTCAAAATGCCACAAATGTCTAATTTCCTTAAAATTTTAAAAATCAAGATGGATGAAAGTAACACTTCTTTTGAAACTGCTTGCTTGAGAAAAATATTCCTGACTTTATTTAGAGTTTCGTATTATTTGAAATCAAAATTTGCCGAACAAGATTGAATTAATTTTTCTTGGAAAATACTTAATCTATTTTCAAACTTTTTAAATTTACTTTGTTTCACCGGCTTTTTCTAAAATTATGTTATATAATTTCTAAAATATGCCATTTAAAATTGTAATTTCAAGTATTTTTGTTTAAAAAAAATGACTTTAAATATGTCATTAAGAAAAAGAAAACGGCTGTAAATTTAAAAAAAAAAAAAAAAAAAAAAAAAAAAAAAAAAAAAAAAAAAAAAAAACGTGTTTAAATACGCATTACATCATATGAAGCAAAGCAAAATTGCAGTTCTTAAAAATCGTTTTACTACTTCAGAAAAGGTGCATATAAGTGACATTTCTTACATTATGAAATAGCGAGGAGTATGTTACCCCAAATTAACCAATTATTTCCCTAATACGCAATAATAAATCTAATAAATTTAGCAAATCTAATAATTAATTTCAGATCACGAAATCACAATTTATCCTACAATCACGATTATTAACTTTTCTAGGCTTATTCCTTCTATTTAAAAAATTTTAACGTGAATTTTTAAATTTTGATTAAAATTAAAATTTTAATTAATTAAAATTTAACGCCATGAGCAGTTTTCTTTTTCAATTTGAAAATAAAAATTAAACTACGTGGCATAAAAATTTTTTAAAATATAGTAATCGTTCAACCATTAGTGCACAGCTTAAAAATTTATGTATTTAGATTTTTTTTTAAAATTATTTAAATAAAAAAATAAATTTTATTAAATTTACAATATTCAAGGTTTACTTAAATCTCGATAATTGGCTATGCACTATACAAACATGTTGTCCAGTGGCGGTGTATGTTTACTCATATTTTAAATCCCTAAAATTTACATCTCTGCACCCCATTATGTGAACAACTATTATGCGCCTGAGTTATTAAATTTTAAATGTACAAGTAAATTTTGTATAGAAGTTATAAAGGTTTACTACCTTGGCAAGTAATTATTGCACATATTCAAAAAATTATTTATAAATTTTTTTTAATTCCATAATTTTACAATTTGATAGTAATTTTACAACGGCTATGTTTTGATTCGAACCCACACAATTAAATATACAGTGTGCAAAAAATAAATAAATAAACAAACGTACTATCCTAAATAACTTTTGAACTAATAATTGAATCTTCACAAACTAGGACTCAATCTTAATGGTTTGAGGGGGAGACTTCAAATACGCTAATTAATTAGAGCAGATGATATTCGACACAAAATCAGACACAAAAACGTACTTTCTCTGAATAAACATACCTTTCTTTTGGCATATTTAGATTTCTAACTCTCAAAATATGGGGGGTAGCCGCAATTTGAGAAATTTGCTCCCAATAGTTAAGCCAGGAGAGCAATCAAAAGTTTGGACCCACTAAAAATACAAATTTTTTAAAATTCGATTTCACAGGAATTATTTGGGACCGATTTCGCTCAAATTTTGTCTACATTCTTTAAAATTACGCAAAAATTTTTTTACCTTATAATTCAATATTTTTTCTACTATTAATAAATAAAATAATGAAAGTAATAAATATTTACTAAAAGTTATTCTTTGCATGGAATTATTTTTTAGATAAACAAATTTTATAATTTTGTGCGAAAATTTTTCATTTCGTTTAAAAAGTTCTCGAGTTACGGTAAAATACGCAAAAAGTTAAACTATGACATTAAGGAGAAGATTACTATTCTGTGAAAAAGCGCTTTTGTGTCTGATTTTGTAACTTAAAATATCGTCTGCACTAGTTAAGTAGCAAATTTGAGGCCACTCCTTTGAACCATGAGTCCTAGAATATCACTAATAAGTCCTAGAACGTAATGTAACGAATTAATTAAACGTAATGTAACGAATTTGATCGTTAATTCAAAAGTTATTTACGGTGGTCCGTTTATTTATTTTTTTGCGCACTGTACTATGCACACGATATGTAATGGAAGTTTATGTTTATTCATATCATATGTCTCACAAAATAACATCTAAATAGGAAACTATACTCTACTAAGCATATATACTCATTATTTTATTTATTTATTTTGCTAATTAGTCTCAATTATTTAGTTTTGAATGTATTTATACTTTGCGAAAATTTACTACGCGAATAATAATTGGTATCATAATTTTTTTTTTTTAAATTTTGAACACCACCTTAGTTTAATATCTATTTCAAATTCAAAAAGGATTTCTGATGACTTTAATATTTTTAAAATTTTGAGCCACGTTGAACCACAATATTGTTCAAATTTGCTACAAACTGAATTTGAAGCCAAAATGAACAATATTATCTTACAAATTAATCCGTCTTGAAATTAATTACACGATATTATGTTTCAACCTGATCTGAGACCGTATTCAATTTAACACGTACTTATCGTTCCAGTAAATTTACACGATTGTACGACTTAAACTACCAACTTCATGGTTCAATATTAAACCGGTTTTTTTAGAGTTTATAGTCAAAAATGTTTTATTGAATACTGTAAGATAACAACAAAGAAATAGCTGGAAATTAACTCTTGTGAATAAGTTTAAGTTTACAAATAAGAGCAAATACTTGAAACCTATTTTGCACTTACTCAAGGGCTATAACAAATGGTAGATAAAGCAGCAGCAAAGAAAAATAAGATCCCCACCTGTGTACAGACAGAAAAAATATTTTCATGAAGAACAAAATAACATAAAAAACAAACTTTTAAATAATATAAATATGAAATAAAGTCGATAATAATGGATTTATGAAAGAATCATATGTCATTAATATGATTCTTTCATAAATCCATTATTAATATAATACATATATGAATTATATGATGTCATATCATATTTCCTAACATGTCATATCATATATCATATAATCTAACATGTCATATCATATCATATAATCAGATTCATATCATATATTATAAATCTCTGATTCTATTTTAAATCTATTATAAATACGATTCTAAAAACTACACTAGCTATTTTTTAGAAAACAGCAAAAGAACTGTATTGGAAAAAGAAAAAAAATCTTTATTTATTTATTTCTTCTTTTTGTCATATTTTTTTGCTTTTTTAAGTTTCTTCACATTAACAGCATATAATACATTTACATACACTCTCTGAATATTTTAGCGTTTTTTGAAATTATTTATGAGTAAATAAACGTCTGCTTTAAGAAAATGAATGAAAAGGCTGCTTTAAGCTTACAAAAATAAATAAAAATACGCTTAAAACGTTAAAGTAATTAAGTTAGTCAGGTAATTAAGGTTAAGGTTAAGTACTTTAAGGTTTATTAAAATTATAAATCACGTTTTAAGTACATAATTACTAAGTTATTTTAAGAAGTCTTATTTAATAAAACATTTAAGCACTGTTACATTTTAATACTTTTAATCTAATACATTCAATACTGTTACATTTTAATTTATTATGTTTCGTAAAGTCTTATAAGTTTTTAAGAGAAAAAAAAAAAAAAAATAAATGCTTCAAGCGGAAAAAAAAAAAGGTCCGAATAATAAATGATCGAATAAAGATCGTAAAAGCACAAAGTTATTATAATGTATTTTTTTAAGTAAATAAAATTTAAACTTCATCACGACAAATTAAATCACAAATTAATTAAATCACAAAATACTAAATAAAATGCAAATTAAGTATTATTTGAAATATTTCATTTCTGAGGAAGTATACAATTTCTGAGGAGAATAGGCAAGGAAGCGTTGAGTAAATTGAAAATAAAATATTACTTAAAATTCGTCATGCATAAGTTTAGAAACTACTCACATTTTATATCAATTTCTAAAGAGAATAAGGATGCGTTTAATGTATTATAATTGAAATATTACTAAAATTCTACATGCATAAGTTCAAAAAACTCTCACATTTTATAGCAATTTCTCAGGAGAATAAGTAAAGAAGCGTTTAATAAATTATATTTTAAATATTACTGAAATTCAATAAGCATAAATTCTTACATTTTTACAGCAATTTCTAAAGAGAATAAGAAAGGAAGCGTTGCAGATGTCTTACTAATAATAAGAGTCAGCTGTGAACGTATTCGAGATTTCCATTACATTCTGATCAAGTCAGACTGGTTCTTATCATAGCTAGCAATATCTTAAGAAAGTTCATCATTAAAAAATGATAAAAAAATGTGTGTTTCTCTTTGATAACTTGTTACGTTCAATAAAATAATATGCATGTCTAGAATAAAGTTGATTCAATGAATGGTAATAAAAATTATAAAATTGAAAACTTTTATAAGTTTTAAAATTTTTAATATTGCATAATATAAGAATTATGTAAGATTCATATGTATGAGAAGTTGCTCGCACGTATTTATGAAGCATTCTTATAATTAATCTAAAAAGAATTTAATCTGTAATTTTTTTTATTGATTCATAAATTCCTTAATCATATTGATTAATATAAAGTAGGAGCGAATAAGAAGTTACACACACACATATATATATATATATATATATATAA